ACAGGTAGAGACCTGTAAGTGAGGCTGTTATGTTTACGATACGAACTAACAAAAGAACTGAGTGCAAAATGACCCCTCTGAGCCAAACAGCAGCCGAAAATGCCATCCTTCTGATTCGCAATCGTTTATTTTCACTTTCCATCACTACATGCCGTCTAGTATTTCAGAACATTGAAGGCACCAGGTGAAAGAAAACTCCAAACATTTTGGAGGTTCAAAAAACTCTTGGGGTAGAACGAAATTACCGTAATCCAGCTAATTGTTGCACCAGTAAACCCAAATATATTGAAGTGGCACGTAGCTTTGTTCAAACTAATTAAAAGCAAACAACCCGTCCACGAAGCCAGTCGGGAGGGGCATTTCTTGTAAATGGACGCGCGGTTCACGCGAGTTTTTTCATCACGTCGAACAAGGCGTGCAAAGGGCATACGCCGCTCGAACGACTATGCAAAAACGAGTGCGTAATTGGGTGGCTCGGAAGCCACAATCCTTCTATCCATGAAACCTCAACGCCAATCAGCGGGGCTTTAAGGCTTCCTGAGTGACTCATGCGATTTCCACATCGATTAAATTTTATAAATATTTATCAAATTAGCACATAAATACACGTAATTTCAATAAAGTCAAGTGATACGCAGATTAAAGAGGACTCAAAATAGTCAAGGAACATATGTAGATCTAAGAACCCGATGAAGCATGACTGTCAATAGCGAGTAAACAAAGCAACAGACAATCGTAAATAGAAAATCATAAACATAAATAAATTATCTGAATGCACATATTTACTGCATAAAATTACCGTATTTTGGCTCCTCAAATGAGGAGTCGCTATAGTAGGATGATGCCGGCGAGAAGTCGGTGGCCTTTGACATGGGCTGTGAGTAGTAGGGTGAAATACTGGGAGAATGGTAGTACTGTAGTTGTTGTTGTTGCTGATGTTGCTGTTGCTGCTGGGCGAGTACCCGTTGAGGAATTTGGACGGGGTGGTAGCTGCCCTCTTGCAGGATCGACCGTAACTGTTCGATGTAACGAGCGGCTTCCCGAAGTGTTTCCACTTTCGAGAGCTTCTGCTTGCAACCGTGCGGCTTAGGAACTCGTAATCGAAGCTGATTGAAGCCTTGGTTCACCTTAAAATACAAGATGCAGGGAACGGCAGAAAAGGGAAATGTACGGTAGAAAAAAGAGAGATACGGTATCCGTTAGGAAGCTTTCACTGACCTGATCGACTCGCTTTCGCTCACGTTCGTTTCGTCGCAGCTTCTGTGGAATGTGCTTGGTAGCCGGCTGTGAGGGCATTGTCGTAGCTAGCGGAGCCGATTCAAATAGCACAATGACCTTTGCCGAGCGACGACCGACCACCAGGGGGTGGGGCCAGGGTGCCCTACATGGGCGGGGCTCATCCATCAACGGAAACCAACAAACCAAAGACGCGCGAATAACTGAGTCGCTGAAACTGAGGCTACGACACCTGTCTGGATGAGTAATAATGACACACTTCCAAAGTGTGAATTAGTCTGAACTTGGGGATCTCGTAGAAACTGATAGAGGAAGAGATGAAGTTGCAGAAGCATCTAACTGCCAGCAATGTCCTCTTTCGACTTTCGATTCATCCTAGCATACTTTACTGCCATACCGTGCGTGTAAAGTGGTAGCAACTAGTAAAGCCCGATGCAGAAATTACTGGCAACTTCTATTTCAACGACCTTTCGGCCAGAGCCCACCTTTCTCAAGAAACTGTCTAGTATGAGTCCGGAATGGGAAAAGAATCTGAAACGTCTGAAGATATTTCGGAAGTCGTTCCTTCAGATAGTATTTCAACCTATGAAAAAAGCCTAGAAAGCTCACAAACTACTAAAACGGCTTCTGGATGCAATTAGAAATAGCTTCTGGAAGTATTGGCCTGAGTGACACAGTCATAATAGCTCTGGGTGGTCCACATTCCGAAGAGCATGTTATTATGAAGGCTACAAGTGATGGTAGTGTGTTTCAACACCGGCGACTCGAGCCACTAACTCTACTTTCTTGTAAATTGCACACGTGTTCCCAGATGCAAAACAAAAGTCGGCACCGCCCGGCCTAAGTAGCGGGGGCGGGATTTTGATTTTCTCTTTAGATGTGCAAGTGAGCCACATTGGTCACAGGAATTGACAGGTTTGGCCTGTACAAGCTGCACTGAGTACCATTTGATGCACCACGAAGCGAACGGCCACCTAAAACAGCCAACGGAGCGGAGGGGTCCCACATGCCGCATGAGGGTCTGACCAGAATTTCTGCCGAAGCCGCAAGGATTTTACGCTTTGTTGATTTTTAGCTGCTTTTCCCGTTTCATGTGTGTTGCCCCCTACTCAAATAGCGGTGTCGTCGAGGTCCTATGCAACTACTATTTCCAGTAGGTGAAAATGGTAGTTGTTCGGTGGCGACCTCCCCCTCCTCGAAAGATTTTGACAGAACAGTTTTTTGGGGGCTCGGAAACAGTGGTAGGAAAGTGGGAAACTTACCATTAAAGGAAGCCGGTAAGTAGATTTGGAAAGGGATCGTTGCCCAAAGGAAGAGGGGCTATGGTCTCACACTTTCCATTTCTCAATCCCGAAGAGTTACGCTGTATATGACTAGCACTCGTTTACCCTGGACTAGCACTGTCTGTAAGTTCTTTATTTTTGTTTTTTGCGTGGAGCTGTTCCGGTTTTCGATTTTCCAGAACTGTAGCAGCTTCAAACGAACTACAAATCACACGCTCTAGGACCAAATCGTGTTTAGTGGGGTACATTTTGAAAAGAATGGAGATTGACGAGGTTTTTTCGAGGACATGCAAAAGACGATGCAGGTGCAGGCATGAGCGGATGAGACACACAATCGTTAACACAAGGATTGATGAATGAATGATAGCGCAAGGACGAGTCAATTCAAAATGCGACGACTCATTTTGGGTCGAGTTGACCGAGTGAGAGAGAATTTCCTCTCCAGTCAACTAACAGACTCTAACTTAGTATCGTCACCTTGTCAAAACCCTGAACCTCGTAATTTTGTTTGCTGCTGTACGAACAAACGAAATTTAATCGTCATCGACGAATGTAGAATTGGTGCCAAAATTGCTCAAAAAGCAAGAAAAAGAAGAAAAATAGAAAGTTAGACTCCGTTAACGGCAAAATTAAGCATTTTTCTCGTGGGTTGGCAACGTATTGAACGGCTCTTCGTTACCAACGGACCACTATGATATGGCAAAAAGAATTTCTCCAGTACAGCGCACGCGCCAGCCTCACAAAAAAGGAAGACAATGAGGATGGAAAAGGGGAAACAAAAAGTAGTTGGAAGGCAGACAGTATTGAACGGTAAAACGAAACACCTTTCCCATGGGATGCGGGATGAGGCAAAAAATTGACGAATGAACTTTTATTTGGTCCATGCATCGGACCTCCCAATGTCAACCATGTCTCCTATCTCATCGTTGTGGTTTGAGAGGTATCATCTCGTCTGGGAGACAATTAGGGATTATATTCCAGGTGTACCTCGGGAGAGTTTGCTCCCGTATCGCAAGAACTTCACAATTTTCGCTAGGGTGAGACTTTGTGAACCGGGACTAGTAAAGTAGGCAATGCGCTGAAGTCGCCCATTTTTGCGCGAACTGCCGCCACTTTATTTTTTGTTTTTTTTTTCTATTTACCTTTGATTTGCTGTTTCAAGCCTTTAATGTCTCATTCTCCAAAATTGTGATTTTCATTGCGAGTTGCGTCGTCTCGAGTGCAACTAGGACGGATTTTGTCAAACCCTTCCCTTCGGAGCTGCTGGATTACTAGTTTCGAGCATTGGTTCATGTACATGTCAGGTGTAGTCATCCTCCCCCAAATAGCTTTGACAATGCAGCGGTTTTTCTTTTTTTCGCATCCTGGAGCTATGACTTGCCCGGTTCCCAGTTAGGGCCGTTTGTTGGGGACCTGACCGCCTGTTGGCAGTACTACACGGTGCCACTTGCCATCATTTTTCGCCTGGGAACCCAGGCAGTGAACTCTATAATCTGATGGTCTCCCGTGGCTACTGTATCTACTACATCCCATAAACAACCCACTGCAATCCGGGCATTGTTCCAAGATGAAGGATTAGCAAGTAATTCAGCTATTGTTTACGCTGTCTAATCATGGAGTACAGCGGATTTGAGAGTGTGGATGATGAGTGCGGGGAGATGGACGACACTGGACAAGGTCAGCGCGGATTATTACCTCAGCGTGAAAACGAACACATCTTGGCACTTCCCAGTTCAACACTGGTGAAATCCATGGAAAAAGATACCAGCAAAGAACGCAGTTTTGACTTTATTTCAAAAGCTTTTCTCAGGCTGCCGACTACGAACGCCATCTCCTCAAAAGGCTCCGAAGAAGGCAATACTGCCGAAACGTCAGTCTGTTAAAGGACTTCTAACAATCTCGGATTGCTGATAAATTCTGTGAATATTGATTTTCTCACTATTCTACTTTTTCTACAGTAACCCGCAGAAAAGTATCTCGCTGAAACTGCACCTAAATAGCGCCATAATGTTTTTCAGTGATTTTTGATCACGAAATGACAACTCCTTTTGACGGCAGTGGTGTCCTTTTGGCATAGTTTGAGCAAAGCAATGTAATCGGCAAAAAATGGTTTTCTTTTTTGGACGCTGTTTGGCTGAGAAAGGGCCAAGGCCAAATTTCTCTTCTGCAAATTTTTTTATTAATCGCCTATACGCCTATTTATACTTAAATTTTTTTGCGCCCTTGTTGAGACCTGTAGACCCTCGCCAGTGGTGAAACAAAGCTCTGCTATTGGTAGCTTTCACGAAGGATGGCAGTACTCAATAAAATCCAGCTGAATTCCCCTTCCCCCCCCCTTCAAGCCAAACTGCTCACTTTTCAACCCGTCTAAAGACATACATGGAAAAGGAAACTGGGAGACTGAAATGACCTGACAAGAAAGAAAGTCAAATGGGCTACGAAAGAAAGACTGTTGAACAAAGCCAAACAGTGGCTATTGGACCTACCTCTCCTAGATAATTAGCGCAATCAAAGGGTAAAGAGCACGCGGTCCAAAAGTCGGTCAATCCAAGAAGCACATCAATCATACCGCTCCATATTGGCCCCACAAAGGTACGCATTGTAAAATATTCAATGCGTGCTTCCATAATAAATTGAATAATTAACGGTAATTTCCCATTGTAATCGTCTCGTTCAGTCATTCATCTCCACTACCAGTAAGCATGGATCACGATCGTATGCATTTCGATGAGTACAGCCGGGTGATGAGTTTGATGGACATCCACACGCGACGAGGAGTTTATTTCACATTCCGAACAGCTTCATTACCATATTCACCTTAATTGGTATTCATGGAATCTTCGACTGTGAAATTCGCAGGGAAGCTCCGTAGCCTATGCACGAAAGAGTTATCGACAGCGAAAGAAGTTGATCGGACGGGGACCATAGAAAGACTAGTCAGAAACTTGCACTGCCATGTTAAAGGAAAAGGCACGATGTGATGCTCGGTCTGAAATGGTAGCACGGGTGCTATATAGTGGGGAAAATGGCGAAAAGGGAAGTGAAAAAGGGTCAAAAATCTACTAAAAAGCCTTTCTTCTATACATTCGAGAAAGCAATTTTGGACGAGTTTTTCGTTCGGCATCGGCGCGTGTCAATAGTCGCTACAGTAGGTACGGCAGCCTGTATCTACTCATATATCCATGCAGCTTTGCAGCCGCTTCATATCAATCCACTTCATATAGTAGTTTGTAAAGATAGCGATACACATCAGCATTGGTCGGATAATTTGGACGGCGCGCGCCAGCGCGATGGGCGTCTGCGTTGGCATATGCAGCTTGATAGAGCGCTATAGGGGCACCTCCCTCAAAAAAGGCGCCACGTAGCGCTGCTCAGGGGTTACGCCATATTCTACATGGTACAGGATTTTACCATGCCACCTGCCCTTCAATACATTACGTCATTCTATGAATCTTGCAAAAATCAGAGGAACTCTGGCCACAGTTTGGCTGATGGCCGGGCCATTTGGCTGGCACTCCCCCATCGCATCACCTGCCACGTTGCCAGTGTATAAGGCCTGTTAAAATTCCTGTAGAGTGTAATAACAAATAGCGAGAGCTTCGTTTACACTTAAGCAGGAGTCCGCCGATCATCAGGCGTGTAAATGAGCAAACTCTTCTGTTCATGAGACAGGACTGGTTCGCAAATTGCGTACTCAGTGCAGTACGCACAGCTGATCTTTAAAAAGTTGGTGCTTTCGATGAGCGGAAAGCCTCACTGTTCCTATATGAGACCTGGTGACAAACAACTGACAAAAGCGAAGTCTGAAGAAGTCCAGTACTGCTGCGGAAGGGAGCCAGGAGTCCTCTGGGACAGCTGCCCGAATGCGGCTGCCACGAGCCTTCT